TCTTTTCAAATATCTAAAAAAAAAATATACATAATAAATAAACAGTACATTTGACTGTTTAAAGTTACAAACTTACCTAAAGTTATTGTGTTTCGAGAAAGTATATAAAGATGACTAATATATGTGGCAAATCTAACAGCCGTATGCATAGTCGATCGCCAATGATTCGCCAGCGGATCGCTGCTGATACCGCCGAGATGAATCTCTGGCGAATCGCTGGCGACTTGCTGGAGATTGTCACCGGCATGTCATCTCTCGCATGTTTTCATGTTATTTTATAGGGAAAATTAGTTTTCATGTTATTTTATGGAGAAAAATTTGATATTCGTTCATTGTTTTTGAGTTTTAAGAAATGAATCATGAATAACATGCGAGAGTTGCCGGTGACAATCTCCAGCAAGTCGCCACCTTTTCGGGCTTTCGCCAGCGGATCGCTGGTGATACGCCGGCGAAACGCTGGCGATCGACTATGCATACGGGTGTAAATGTTTCAATTCTTGCAAAATTTTATTCAATCTAGATAAATCATTTTTGAAAAAGAAATCATGTACTAATCTTCGAATAGCATTTAGAACCTCTCATCAAATGTTTTTAGAACTCCTGGTCTTCCATCAATACTAGATATTGTTCCATTATTGCGGTATTATTTCAATACTCGGTAAGTTGTTGACTTTGCAATACCTGCAAGGAAAATGTTGAGTATTTAATATTATTTTTAATTTGAAACTAATGAGTAAAACTTACTGGTGGCTTGAGAAATTTTGGATATATTATCAACAATTTTGGTTTATTATATATTATCCAATGCCTATTTGTACATATTTATTATTTACTGCTTTTCGTTCGTTTTCGTTGTTTTGGTGAACTCTGCGAGGAACTGCTATAAAATAGTATTTGATGTAGAAGGATCCATAATGCTAGACAATTACTTACTTAAGTTCTGAAAAGAACTATTATTAACGAAATAAAATAAAAAAAACTAAGTAACAATGAAATATAGAAGCAATAAAAAAACTTAAAATATAAAATGTTAGAACTGTCAACAATAACAATAATTATTAGCTAAAACGTAACGTGTGAAACTGACTGCAATCTGACCAATTAGAAGTCTACAGAATTGCCAACTAAAATTCAAATCGCTCCTCTTAGTTTAAAAACAGAGTCTAGTGCGTAATTTTTTATTGTTATTGAACCAAGTTAACAAAAATAAAGAAAAAGGAGGAAGGTTTTTAAATACACACTCTATGTAATAAGAATAATCAAAAATTTATTAAAATAACTCTATATAAATGATAAACTTTAATTTTGTTCCAGTCGACATTGAACTGACAGAAGGACCAGTAGGAGAGGCAATTTCAAACGTCACACCCAACGCCACATCTTGGAGAACGTGCTTAAACTTTTCGCTGGTATCCCTGTCACTCCTGGCGTCCTGTCTCATGTGAACCGACGTTCCAACCTAAATGTGACCCAACAAAACGGTCACAACGATAATAATAATTATACATTTCAATTGTCAGTAACGAGCTGTCAGCTGTCGTACCCAATGGACCGTACGTCATCTGTCAAACTAACGCCCTTTACGTCAAACGTCAAGCATACATTTGACGTATTTCATCTAGGATAATTCGGCAAATTAGGTAAATATACGCGATTCAAAGTATTCAGTGAGTTTTTCTATTTTCTATAAAGGAGTATTTTTTACTTAGTACTACAACTATGCGCTGATGTTGTGAGTTGTGTGGCTAAGATCCCGTCGTACGGAAACACTGCGTGAGCAAGATTATATTTGTACCAATGAAAACTTCCAGATCGGATATTTTGGAAAGGAATACAGATATTCTATAAAAATATGAGTTAGTACATTTTTTTTAAATGGGTTAATGGAACAAAATCTGCCAATACAAATGCATTCTCTACTAGTTGTGTAACATTGGAAAAATTAAACCACTGAAACGTCATCTATATATTGACATATTTAAAATCAATTCATATTCAAAACTAAAGCTCTTGTAGTGCTTTAGTAGCTGACTTTTACAGAATTAAAATATCTCTATTCCAGTGCAAAATATCCAGCTTGGGACTATTTATTGATATATTATTATGGCGTTGTTTATAAATAAAACCTATGGCACATCAATAAACAGTCATTTAATTGAATTTGATATTTTTATTTTCTTATTATGCGACTTTTGTAAGAAATATTCGATCTTGTAACGAAATTTAGGTTTCCGTCCAACGGGACATTAGACACTGCCTCATTTAAATCTACTGGTAATAAATAATTTTTATGATGAATAAATGTTCATTTTGATCTACCATATTTGATTGATTGATATAATCTGAACATTTTCGTTAATATGCAGCTCAATCTCTTCCGCATAATGTTTTGCTTAAAGTTTTAATTTTTGTTTACATTGAATTTTAGAGTGTGTGCTCAAAATAAATATACCAGAAGCTTTTACCAGCAGATTTGAATCTAATGAAATGAAACTAGGATATTGATAAATATATTTTGCTATGTCTAGATAATAATTTTATCGTTTTGGGTTATAGAGCTTTAACAGCGTTTTTAGAATTACTGAAATATTTATGGAAAAAATAAGTTTTTTGATATTCTATTCTGAAATTTATGGTTTCGACATCATTAATTAGAGAGAACTATGAAAGTCATTTTGATTTTGTGGCCACCTTTCATGAGAAAATAGGTATGTTTAAAAAAAAGCAAGACGTTTTTTGTTTTAAATAAATTGAAATATCAAAAATCTCATTTAAAAAAAAATACGCGTTAGATATTATTCATATTAAGATCGAAATTTGTAACATATGTTACAAAAACGCTTGTACCAGGGTACTTTCCTGAATTTTATTTGTACTTAGAATTAAAAAACCTGAAGGATGGGGCAAAACTGTGGAATAACGGTTTATTCTTGGTAATTTTAAGCAGCATAATAATATAGGTACCTAACAGAGGCAAGTAAAATAATGGGAGAACCGTTTAATATAGTCTGTAATAAAATATGGAAATTTAACTAATTGAATATCTAAGTTTTTACAAAAAACTTATGTGAAAAATGTAGAATATACCTAGTGTTTTTAGTACCACAATAGAATAATCCTTTCCTTCTTTAGCATTGACATAATGTATTAAACAGAAAATTCTTAAAACTAAACATTGAATTGTATTGCCGAATAATAATATAAAGTTGTCAGTGTGAATGTCGTCATTATTTGCCATTTATAAATGTTGAATGTCAGAATATCTGTAAATTTAATTAAACATATTATTTCAATAAATAACAAAGAACAAATTCAAACATCATAATCAAGTAATGCAGGGACAAAAGTTGGAAATGCTTTTGCCAGTTCTCCCATTTAATACACAGAATTTGACAGTTTTGCCTCGAAGCTAACCGAAGTGAACGCGAAACATTGCCAAAGAAAATTATTTTATACATACTACATTTTGTTATTAATTTTATTTTTGTTTTTTTTTTTTAGATGACACCTAAGCGAGAATGCTTGTGCTGTGTCAAGATTATATAATATAAAAACATATATTATGTTTTTAGAGTTTTGGGCTAACTTATATTCTAGAAAAAAAAAATACAACGAAAAAAAACAAAAAAGCAAATGAAATAATTATGCAGTTTGATGATTAAATATAGCTACGCAAAAACAAAATATACAATTAATATAAAATAAAAATATTTAAACAATAACACTGTGGAAACACTAACAGCCGTATGCATAGTCGATCGCCAGCGACTCGCCATAGATTCATTTCGGCGTTTCGCCAGCGATTCGCTGGCGATCCGCCGGCGAAAGCCCAAAAAGGTGGCGACTCGCCGGAGATTGTCACCGGAATGTCATTTCACGCAAGTTTTTATTTTGTTTTTTAGGGATTATTACCGGTATCTCTCGCATTTTATTCATGATTCATTTCTTAAAACTAAGTAATTAATGAATATCAAATTTTTCCCGTAGTGAATCTCTGGCAAGTCGCTGGCGATCGACTATGCATACGGCTGTTAGAAACATTATTAAAGTATTATTTATTATGCAGCATTACAATAATAGTACTAATTTACTGTGATTTTCAGAGATGTAGTTTTTTATTTTCCTCTTAAATAATTTAAAGGGTAATGTTTTAAATGAGTCCCGAATGGTGTTGTCAGTGGCGTGTGGTGACAATTTTGGAAGGGGAAGCAATTGTATAAAAATACAGCAGGCCAGTAAGCAGATGAAATTTTTTCGCGGCGCATTCACCATTTTGTCAAAATTTTGCTTTTTTTTTCCTCAGTACTAAGGATATTCGAGATTGAAATTTTTGAAGTGTTACTATTACTTTATTACCTAGTTTAGTACTAAAAGCTATAAAAAAAACTTACCATTGAAATGCTTCCTTGGTTTAACTGAAGTTTTTTTTATTTTCTCCAGCATTTTTCGCACAGTTGACACAGCAATTGACATTTATTTATACTTAAGATCTATTCGCCTATCCTCAATGGTTGCAAATTTGTCTATAACATCGTCGTAAAATTTTGGATTTTCTGATAACCGTTTAACAAGCTGTTTTTAAATGGATATTAGGGCTAAATTAGAGAGTCTGTCTTCACTTGTTAAATTTCGTATAAAACTTTTAATGCGCTTTAAAGCTGAAAAACTTTGCTCAACTGACGCACTTGTGGCTCGGATGGTTAGTACTAATTCACACAACTTGACGACTTATTTAAACCAGTTGTTATAAGAAAATTTAACACATTGTCTTTTTATCACTAATTTCAGTTGTTTCATAAACAACACTTAACTGGGACTTTAATGCTGGAATATCGAAAAAATTTCCATAATTTAGTTTTAGTGAATTAAAAGCTTCCGATGGAAATTTTGATGAATCGTAGTTACTAATATTAAAACTGCATAATTCAACAAATTTTAATTCGTTAAAGTTTTGTTGTAGAATATTATCAAAAATGTCGGCGTATAATTAACGATAGGAGGTCTCTCTGTCGCCGACATTATCAATTTATTTTTTTCAATAGGTGAATTTTTGTACCAGAAAGAGTTAATATTTTGCCAAAATGGATTTGGAGTTAGAAATAAACGTGAACATGTGAATTGTGGACCTCGTTTTCCAATCAATTTTTTGAATAATCTATCTGGGCAGTATTGCGAATATTTTGAGTATTTGGAATCAACCCTTACTATCTGCACATTTTTTGTCTCCTCCTTGGCAAATTTTCATAAAAATAGGATTATATTCTATCCTGCCTGTTCTTTAACATCTTCAGAGGTTTCAAATTTAAAATATTCTCCACCGCGCCAAGCTAATTCCACGGAAGCCAAATAATAGAAAATTTTTTGGAGACTGTCTGGAGTTTGTTCATCCAATTTGTCAATAATATCGTGTATATGTTTTAAACTTAGAGCTGTAGAACTTTGTTTCCTTTTCTCTGAAAATTTCTGCAATTCCCGTCTTTTTGCATTTCGTGCATCGCGAGCACTTTTAAATTCAATACCTTGAAATCGATCTATCTTTATATTAAATTGTTTAAGATATATTTCTGGTAACGTCTTAGCAGTTGCGTTCCACATACACTTTAAAGAATACTCTTTGTAGTCGCTTCCGTCTTCTTTTTTCATATTCCAAGCCCAATCTTTTAAGATATTACATAGTTTAGCAACAGTTTTATCATTTGATAAAACATATTTACGCTGAACGCAAAATTTCATAAACTGATTCCACACACTATTTTTACTTTTGATTGTATTCTTCGGGGTACTATTGTCTATAAAACTGTCTATTTATTCGCTATTAACACACCCAAATCGGTTCATTTTAAACGTTTCACTAATATATTAATTTTTATTCTGACACTTAATATTATTTGACAGTAACCACTTTTAATATTACACCTACAATCAAGTATGCGAATTGCTGTCAACATAGGTGAATATCGAGCACCATGCATGGATAGTCGATTTTAAATAGTCAGTGAAAATAGTCGATTTATTTGTTTCCGATTGGTTCTAACGATAAAGTAAATTGCGATGTGATTGGTTAAAATCTCAAATCTGACAGGGGAGGGAAATAATCATTATTATTTATCAATTATAAGCTTTGAACACAAAATAAAAGAAATGTGTGTGTTGTGTCATTCAACAAATTTTTATTCTCGAATATCTAGATTTAATTAAGATATAAAAAAATAGGTAAACCTCGCATTTTATTTTTAAAATTATTTGACATTTCTTTGACATTCAAAATAAATCTACGTTTCTAAAACTTTTGTTGGGGTATCAAAAACACTATGACATTCAATTCTTCTGTGCCTATATAAAAACTTAAAATATTTTTATCTGAAGTAATCGTTTTAATAAATCAGTTTGTGTTACAATATGTTCCACATTTTTGCCTCATTCCTTATTTATCTACCTGAAGATGATCATTATACTATAATATATTTATTGGACTTTTTTTACTGAATGGATTTAAAAATTTAAATGTATATGAAAATATTATGTATATAAAGATATATGTGAACTTATGAAAATGTTTGATGGATATGCACAATAATTTTATTATGCCATTTAAGTTTTATACTTTTTTTGAGTTCTTGTTGATTTGTACATTTATATACAGGATGATTTTATCTTAAAAATTAAGATTCAATTATATAATTTTAAATAACTCTATTGTGATAGAAAAGTTAAAAAATATATGCTATGATTTGGTTTGAAAAATATAAATATTGAAAAAAAAAATTAATATTTTTCTTTGCATATTTGTGATAAAATAATTGGTCTATTTTTATACATAGATGGCACTTTTTATCATAAAAAACATACTGTATATAAATAAATTTTTTAAATATTTTTTTTTTTTTATATTTTTTGTACATTTTAAATACACCGATCTTATTGTTGCTGTTAAAGTGTATTCAGAAATATATATGTATAAATGATATTATATCTATGTTAGCATCATAAGACATTTGATGTTTTCAAAAGATAAGAGTATAATATATATTGTAACGTTCAAATTTAAATTTTATATTTACGTTTTTCTTTAGTTATTTTATATTTCTAAGCTGAAATCGCGGTCAATATTTTCTAAAAATAAATATAAAAATCTTAAACAGGTTAACAAACAATCATGTATTGTACGGAAACAATCATTTTTTGTATGAATTTTTCGTTCGCAGGTTGCTTTTTTCAAAGTTGTTTAATGATAAATGTATAAAATTATATTTATTACTTCTTCACTTTACTACATTTGAAGTAGGTAATTTATCTTGGGAAAGAGGTAAAGCTGCACTGATACTTCTTGATCATCCTCCTTAGTGTATGCCAATATTGTGACAAAGCTTAATAATTTCACTACTAATTCTAACTGCAGTTGCGGTCATATCACCTCGCATAGGGGGGGGGGGGGGGGGGGGGGCTTCAGGCACAGGTCATTATATACCCATATTGTGTGATTCTTTAAATGAAAAGCAGATAGGTAATCAATTCTTTATGATACAATAACTTTTAAAAAGGTTAACTTAAAAGTTTTAAATTTAGGTCTCGAGTAAATTATGATAAATCAGTTTTTTGCATTAAAAACTATTTTCAGATGATTGATTGCGACGATTATCAGAATAAATAATCGATTATCTATTATTTAAAAAAATCGACTATTTTGTATTAATCGGTTAATCGAAAATAATCAAAAATCGATTAATCAAAATAATGGATTAATCGATATAATCGATTAATGTAAATATTCGATTAATCGAAATAATGGTCTAATCGACATAATAGATTATTTTTGATTATTCGATTATTTTATATTAATTTATTATTTTTGATTAATCGATCAATCAATTATTTTCAAATAATTTATTATTTTAGATTAATCGATTATTTAAAATAATAATCGAATATTGATTTTTCAATATAAAACCGATTATTTTTGATTAATCGATTATTTTTTAATAATCTCTTATTAATCTGTTATTTTCGATTAACTTATCAATCGATTATTTTTAAATAATTTATTATTTTAGATTAATCGAATAATCAATTAATAATCGATTATTTCAAAAAATCGAATAATAAATTTAAAAAAATGTTTTTTCGATGAAATATTAAAAAATAATCGATTTATCAAAAATATTCGATTAATCAAAAATTATAGACAATCCTATAGAAATTCGTCGACAGAGGTCAGGTGGCTGCAAATCGACTTAAATAAAAATTGATTGAAGTATATTTTAGATGAAAATAGCTCTTTAAGCTAAGTCTTAGAAATCCATCCAATATGTCACTGGAACAAGCTACAGATATTAGAAATAAAAAGCAGAATGAAGATATCACATACGGATTGAGTTAACAAGAAAAAAAATCTATGACAAAAAGTCATTTTTTATAAAAAAATTCTGCTTCTAGAGGAAACAAGATTACCATATAAAAATATTAGGTGGAATGTACAGGGTGTTAATAAATTAATTAATGATGAAAATGTTTCAGAGTCAAGCGAAATTTTCATTTTATTTTAATCATTCTTATTTATTTAATCTGAATCATACGGGAAGTACATTTTAGCTTAAACTAAAGTAAAATTAGGAATTGAATAAAAACACAAACAAACAAAAAATACCAGAAAATTAAACACAGAGCCACTCGCATACGAATTTTTGTTTATTTAAGGGCTAGTATTCTTATATGTATCACTCAAAGTAAAACTGTAGTTAACTCAAATACGGTCAAAGAATACTCTTTAACAATATTTGGTTCGGTTGTTTAAAGTAAAATAGTCAAACGAGTAAACTTTTTCAAAAGAATGTCTCACGAAATCACTCCATTGAGTATTGTTATCTTCTTGTTTCAAATGACTGCATGCCATATAAGAGTAAACGCGTTTCGTATAAAGTTTCTGGCACTGGAAACGAAACCTAAAGAGAATATAATTGTCCGAATTTATATTGTACCCGTTCTGTTCTGTTAATGAGGCATACGTAAATAAACATAAATCTAGATTACAACACAGTATTCAAGAATTAATGCTCCAAAACAATCAATATTTTGAAGAAATATAATGGCCTTGGTATCATAAATGTGACGAGTTGAATGAAGCCAAGCACTCTACATGCCTTACTCACGATAGACATGCTGGTTAAAAGTCAGACTGGTGTCAAAGATGATGACAAAATCATTAATGGATGAGGCACTATCTAATATAACAGTACCCACTTTATAAGTCGTAGTGTAGTACATTTGTTAATGTTAAGAAACAAACAATTGATTCTCCATAATTTAGTGAAACGATACAGATCTGATTACAAAGCAAAGCTATAGCTGGTATTTGTTATAAAAAAAATAGGTTTCTGCAAACAAAATATAGCAATTTGTTATGTCTGCGAAGAAGGTTAAATATCTTGGAATCACCTTCTGCAGTCATAGAACAAAAAACAACGGTAAAAGCTGTAAGAATGATATGGACCTATAGACGGATGGTAAAGAACACATAGAGGCTTAAACCAAGTATGCTACACTGACTCTGTACCACGGTTGTAGTATCCGTTATAACTTACGCATTAGTCATATGGTGGCAAAGGGCTAAAAGCATAATATCTGATAGAATTATATAAGGTACAAAGTCTGGTCTGTAATAATAACAGGAGCCCTAACGACTCTACGCCCACTGGAGCAATGGAGCTACTACTAGGTCTAGGTCTTTCTCCATTATACTTTAGGGGATAACGAGGGTATGACGGCCTGTATGTTTTAATTTATGGCTAATGGACTTGGATGGGAAGAAGACACCATATAATAATAGATAGATAAATTAAAATAAAATTCGGTGTTAAGAATGCCTTCGGATAGAACATCATTCATGAATTTACGAAATCTTTCAAAATTCAAATACCAGAAAGAAATAAAAGCCGAGAAAATAGGGAAATCCAAAACAAATAAATCTGGTATCCAGACGATTCGAAGACGAAAAACAGCACAGGAGCTTAGCTTGCGAACCATTAGTCTAAACCTAGGGTCACTGGCAACAGTCTTCCAAGCTAAAGTAAGAGCAATAAATGTCTGCACTAAAGTTTTGGAGATAAGAGGGTCTTTATTATGGTAGACCTGTCAGGCAACCCTTAAAGTACTAAAAAGGGTAGAAGTACAACCTAAATTATTGTTTGATTGCCAACAGTCCTTCCAGGCCCTAGGCAAAACATAATAAGGTCACTCTCGTTGGGAAACGAGAAAGCAGAACTCCTAGCCAGGAAGGCAGCGGAGAAAACTCTAATTGGACCATAACCCACATAAGGTATTTCATATCAACTTGTTAAATGGTTGCTAATGGAACAGATAAATAGAAAACACCATGGGCTGAGCTTGGAACTTCCTGGAGTTCAGAATATTTATAGAGTGTTCATCCAAGAGCAGACAAAGGCTGTAAAGGGAATCATTACGGGACACTGTGACCTCAGAAGACACCTAAATATCTTATGAATATCTGATGATTTCCAATGTAGAATATTTGAAGAGGAGGAAGAATCTCCAATTCACATACTATGTCATTGCTGGAACTTTAAATATCCGAATATCCGAAGCCTGAAGAAATGGCGGAAACGCCTAACAGACATATTTTTGAATTC